ATATATATATATATATATATATGCTCGCCCTTTCAGCCGTGGGGGCGTTATAAAGTGACGGTCAATCCCACTATTCGTTAGTAAAAGAGAAACCCAAGAATTGGTGGTGGGTGGTGATGACTAGCTGCCTTCCCTCTAGTCTTACACTGCTAAATTAGGGACGGCCAGCGCAGATAGCCCTCGTGTAGCTTTGCGCGAAATTCATAACAAACAAACAAGCATTCACTTCCAGAACTTTTCATCGTGTGTTTTATAAGCTACTTACATTGTTTGGAAAACTGTAAGAAAGCACTGGTATTGAGATTCCCAAGATAGCGTATCGTATAACTCGTTGTTTAAATTTTCTTCTTGAGACCTGAAAAGTGATAGCGAATTACTATTATTATTATTAACTAACGAGGTCGTCGATGTATAGAAACGACTCATAATTTCACCCAAAAACTAATGTACGTCTGTGTCAATTTACTTGTCTTAACACAAAGAAAAATACCTTCTAAAACTATTGCTTTTTATTTTTTAAAAAAGGAAAAAAAAATCAAAACTGAATGAGGTTTGGAATCCACGATTTGCTCATTACAAAAACTTAAAAGAATTTCGCTTAGAATATACACGGCACGACTGTCATCCTTCTAAAACTACCATTTATGATTTTACTAATAATCCATTAATATCGTTCTTCAGTTCCCCACAACTCAAAACATTAAACTTTGTATCCACCATATGGAAAACTACCTTGCAAACCCCCTAGGTATAAGATCAGTTACTAGTCTAAGAGATTACTGAAAAGCGAAAATATACGTGTAGTTGGAAGAGTTATAAAATTCGGTGTAGTGGTAGGAATACACATCGATTTGATGGGCTTTTGTGATTCGTCTCAGGCAACGAACATGTATTATCACGCTGAAAAATAGATCCGGTAAACTTTGTAAATGCTATATTTTTCGCTCTTTTCAATAACGTTGTTGTGTTATAACGATTTACTTACTAGAATATATTTTGTCGTGAAAACTGGAAATAGCCAATGACTTCAAACTCTTTACAAAAGTATTCGTCATTTCTAACGTAAAAACCTTTTGACAGTGAGTAATACACACGTATATGACATAATGAGACAATCGTCCAAAAGTTACGCGTGTTAAGCATGATATTTAAATTAATAATATTGCTGTTTTTGTTATTATAACAATTGATTATTGTTTATTTCATTTAGTGAAAGTAATTCTGTTTGTGTACTTGTTTTTATTTATAAAATATTATTGCTGGCACTACGTTAACGTTACTCATCTAGTTATTGTTACCATTGAGTTTGACACAGTGTATTTGAGTAATGTGGTCGAAAGTAGTTCAAATAAGGTTTCTAATTGTCTCCGAGGGTGTTTTTACTTGGTACGACGGAATAGTCCGAGCCATGTTTTGATCAGAATTGCAAGTTTTACGTTTATAGAGCCACCTACCGTGTTTGCTGAGAATAATGCGTTGATACAACTTTAACCTTTCTCTGCATTGTGACATTTTGTCCTTTTATAAATCTTAGGAGGTCTGTTTTAGCTCTGGGAGATCAGGTTAACCTTTTTGTAAACCAATACTTTAATAAATAACTTCACGTAGCGTAGGTCGACATGTATACTTTAACCATTTGTAACAGAAACGATTATCCATACTTACGTTGTTTGGAAATATTTGATAAAACTCATTATAATGGAAGAAAAAGTTATTAGACAAAATAGTTTCATGTATACTTTAACCATTTGTAACAGAAACGATTATCCATA